AGGATAGCAAAGCCCGTTCTCACTCGGTGGAGTGAGGTTATTTCTTGGTTAAAGTAGCTGAATGTATACTCTAACTTAGTTCTCACGCTGCTTGTGGACAATTTTCGCCACGGGTGGTCCTTTTCAAGGCGAAGGAACAGTCGCTTATCGACTTTCGCCTTGGGGTTTTCTTTTGTTGGGCTTTGGCCGCATGTCGCGGCACAGCCTTCACAGTTGGGCCTGATTTTTGTTGCAGTCCGTGTCTGGCCACCGTGGCCCAGGTGCTTTTGACAGGCAGAGCTTGGACGGTAGGTATTGTTTGTCTCCTGGCGTCGGGTGCCCTTGGGAGAGGGTTCGTCGGGCAAGGAGGGAGGACGGGTGGCGTAGTGGCCGGGCCCATGGCCATGTATTGCGCTATGGCGGCGCGTAGGTAGACTCTCATGGAGTCTACGAATTGTCTATTTGACCTGTTGGTCAAAGGGAGGAGGGTGGCTTCGACACCAGAGATGACGGCGGAGCAGAGGGCCAGGTTTGCCACTATTTCGGCGGCGCGTTGTTGTTCAGCTTCGACTATTGGTCGGAGCTCGAGGGGACACTCTACTTTCGTGGCAGCTGTTGGCTGCGACGTTGATGTTGATGCTGCTATGGGTGCATCGTTTTCCGACGGTTTAGATGTGGTCGGAGGAGATTTTGACGATTCTCCAATCCCGTGGGGGACGGAGGGTGGTTGAGGAATTTCTCCAACAATTTCGACTGACCCGATCATGTCAGTATCGGGTTCAGTGAGGGCGGGGAGGGCTTTTTCCTTCCCTTTGATTGAGACCTTGCTCATCTCCGCGCATTTCGGAGACTGGGCAAGGCCAGGTACTTGTTCGAGAGCCCTCGGGCGGACTCTCGTGTTGTCCAACTTGGCGTTGGGACGCTTTTTTCGAACAGGTGGCATGGTGAAAATGCCAGTGACTCGATCACAATTTTTTGATAGAATGCGACGAGCGCGTGAGGGAGGGAGACGGGAAAAAGGTGAAGATTCGAAAATTCGAATTTCAAAAAATTGTGTGACGCCTGCGTGTGTCCCCATTGACTGCAGTTGTAACACTGCTTTGCCTGAGCCCTCGGGCACCACACCTGCGCTGAGTATAGCATGGCATTAAGGACAATGCCAAGTCGAACAACTTGTTTCTGCAAGACCTCCATGGGAAGACTCAGAACAATTGAGCCCCTTGTGCGGCCATTCGTCTTGGCCCGCTCGATCTCCTTTCCGTCGTGCATCCATCTTATTCTATTGATCTTTAGACCTGGATTTCGTACTGCTGTAGACGATTCTATCTCCCGTGTCAAAGTTGTGTTGTTGGCATATTTGCCTCCTTCAATTTTCGTCCTCAACAGGATCCCGTAAACTTCCGCTGGAAAATCTTGCCTTAGGACCTGAAAATCCTCTATCTCTGCCATATTGATAGCCACGTCTCTCTGGGTCGCTGACTGAACAAACACTTCGGTGTCATTGCTCCGCATCTGTCGTACTGCGTATGCCCCTGGTATATGTTTTTGTGCCCTGGTTAGCAGCTGTGCTGGCTGCATGTCTCTTGCACTCTCGACGCGTATTCGAACCGCTGTTTTTGCCATTGGCGGCGCTGCCACCGACGCGTATGTTCTTGGGGCCGGCAGCCCAGAAATTATTGGAGCCGCGTTGCGAGCGGGCTCCGCGAGACTCTTCTTGACTACTTTTTCAAAAGCCAACATCCATTCTTCGATGGGAGATTTCATCGTCTGCATCTCCTACCGAGCCTTAATGCGTGCGTTGAAGGCCCTGACGGCCTCCGCGATGTCTTCTGTAGTGATGGTTATGCTATCGTCGTCTTCATCTGAATAAAGAGTCCTGAGCTTTTTTAGTAATAGCCTTAGGATATTAAGATTCTTATCTGGAGGAACTGTTGACGCTCCGCTGCCTTCGGATTGTTTGGCCATTGTCGCGATTTGCGACGCGTCGGGACCGCTGGATCCCATCGAACCGGCACCAGCACCCACCATGTTGTGGCACAGTGGATATGGGGACGGAAATGGGGTAAGATTGATGGATAAATGCGATTTACGAAGTCAATTTGATGAAAGAGGCAGCGTGGAGTGCTGCGCAGCTTTTCGTGAAAAATGATGTTTTTTTTGGTTTACACAATTATTATTTCCCCTGCACTTTTACAATATATATAATAACTGCCATTAATTGTTACCTGACTTAACTCTGTACTCCATAATCTCAATAGCATGTCTATAATCGACAACTTATCATTATCGGTGTTGTCATTCCCACGCGATTCTTCTACTTCAATCTTACTACGCCATAACATCTCAGCGACCGATAAAGGCGTTACCCCATTTGCAAACGGGAGCTTTGCCCAAGAGTTATCGATAAATTATCACAAAAGAAATGTGATGTTACGTTCGCCCGTAAGTAGGAAACTAAGTCATAACATGAAAAGCTCGGATCTTGGTCTATGAGGGACCATTGCTCTAATGGGGCTTCACATCTTGAGGGAGGACAGGCAACCGGGATGTGGGACGAACGTGTGAAGAGGTCACAAATGTGCATGTTGGGACGCACATTTTTCGAGTGTCTTCGACTTAAAGGTGTCCGTGGGCGCCGAGGCAACGATTTAGGATAGTGCAACCGACACTCTAAAAACAGGCAACGGTGGAAGGTGTTTTGGACCGCCTCCTGGTCGTCATCTCCCCAAGTTAGAATCTAGGTAGCCTAGACGCCTATCCAACTTGGGAATGGGTGGACCGTGAGACCATATCTCGCGCGATGGCTATATACAAGATGGCAAAGGCATGTTCGGGTAGCCGAAGATTCTTTCTTTTTTCCATTTGGTGGATGTTAACGGTTGAGGGAAGGGTGAAAGTCCCTAGCACCAAGGTGTCGAGTGGTATCAGCGAATGCAACCACTATATCAGTAGTCCAAATGTCAAACTGATTTATCTTCACATATAATAATAATTATTCATTATCCTGATTTGGCGCCTTGAGGCCCATGCAGGTTTTTATCGGAAGATATGTACTTTAAGTAGGATGACTCAATTTGACGTTTAGAACACTCACACTCAGATTTCATTTGCAGATACTACTGGAGATTAACCCTTACGGCGTATAACCTCTTCCGTGCATACCCACCACAGGGAAAAGCGTGAAAATCCTGTGGCTTTCCAAGCGTGCTTTCATCATCCCATAAGTACAATATCACCGCGAGAGAGTGTGGTGTGTGGGTCTGACTGGATTCGAACCAGCTTTCTCCTGTCTCGAATGGGGTAGGTGTTCAAGCTACCCAGTGTCTACTTGGGAGAACGACCCGGATGGTGCACCACTGCACCATCCAACCCTATCTTCACAAATAGTCGTCGGGGAAGCTAATCTTCTCCGTGCCATGCTCTTTGAGTGCAGGGCTTGTGCACGTCACGAATAAAATCCATCCATCCATCCTCCCGATCGCCTGTTTCGATAATTGTTAGTACAATCTCCTGTGAGATTGAATATCAGTTCTACGGAAGAATTTCACACCAGCAATCGTCGAAAGCACTGTACGTAGAGGCTCGGATTACTTCGTCAATAGTTTTGCGTGATTTGGCCAAATTTGGATTTAGAATTTAATCCACTCTCGGACCCGAAGTGTACACTGCTTAAAATTGACTATTCAATGTCATTCTGCAACTGAAATTGCGGAATCTATGTAAATGTGACAATCAGCCTCATTGCGCCCACAACTGTATCATTTTAATTTTTTAACCACCACGTTGAATTTTTGAAACGACTAGACTTTGAATAATCATATATGATCTTGTCTTCGGAAGGGAATAAGGCTATTATAATCACAATCTTTTCACTCTGGCCCGGCGCTAGTCGTAGCTTTATCTACGGTCGTCACTTCACCAATCCTACAGTCTCTTTCTTTGCCTATACTTAAAAGTAACACATGTAAAGTGATAACGGCTCTCCCTATCTGCATCTATAGATTTTCCAGCTGTGCCGGCGTTGGATTCAGATTCTAATTACAGAGAAGCCACAAATCAGGGAGGGGCTTCCCTGCCATTCTTTGGTATTTGCCTCTATTTAGAGACTATGATGAGTAGTATATAAATGTGAGTTAAAGAAGATTTCGGAAAAAAAGTCCCATGAATTCAGATTCCAGCCCAATCTTCAGTGTGCTATGTATTGCGACTAAGATCTCTGCAAAGGTGGCAGATATTAATTTGATTACAAGAATAGACCAATTCTTCTAACGTTCTGTCGGTTAAATACGAAACAGGAATAACCGGGACCATTCTAGGACTTCTCGTAATAAGATACCCTGAGGGACAGATGGAATCCTTTAATGATTTTTGAACTAAATGTATAAAAAATTTCCCTCGGAAGATTTAAAAGGATCTTGGAACCTAGCTGAGTTAAAATTGCGTCTAAGGTGTAGTTTAAAAAGAGAAAGTTGCTTTTTAAACAAAGCCGTAAGACTCATCCCATTTGGTTCCCAGAGTTACCCAAGGTTTGTTAATATTACTTAGCAGGTTCTGTAGTTATAGCCGCTGCTAGTTTTTTTTCTTGAGTTTTCAAGGTGGCTCTTCGTGATAGTGTTAAATTTAGGAATTTCGATGCGAGCTCTGCCAAAGTACCCCCCCTGAGCATGACCGTCTTAGCAGAGTATAGGCTTCCGAAACTCGGATTCTGAGATGGCTCGATTGTGCATATTTTCTTGGCGGGTTCTGAATCAGGATCAGAGACTTAACTATCTGGTCACACTACATTGGCCTGTGTGTGTTCCCAAATGCGCTCGGGTGCCCTCGGGAAGTTCAGACCAGTGATTACGATTTTCTATTCCATGAGATCTCCAAACCAAGGTTGCAACTTCACTACGATCCAATACCTTTTTCTTTTCTCCAGAAGGACACCTTAGTGAACCAATTTAAAATACCAAAGATTTGAGATTTTAATCTTCTTGCAAATCGTTTTTCATACTCTAGCACTCAGGAAAGTTGGCATCATGATTCAGTCTACACAGATAGCTAGACTCGACGGTGAATCCCCTAACTAAAAAACGACTCGAATAAAATAAACTGATTATCTATTTAGGCCTTATGCTTTGCGCCTCGGTTGATGACGAGCAGGTCTGATAAAACTCGACATAAAATAACTTGAAGGCTGATTCTAGACAACAGATCGAGTCCTCTCTTTCTGAGGTCAAATCACAAATGAAAATGATACTACGAAGGCTGAATCGTAATTCAGAGCCGCAAGCTAGCGTAGAATCCGGTCGATATACTCTCCAGTAGGTCTTCCTCATGTCAATACCAGCGCAGTCGGACACGTGCGAATATTAGGAAGTTAATTAAAGAGCCGATTTTGCATCAGGGAATAGTGTTGCTGCACTTTTTTCCGTTATAAAACAAACATCTGGAACATTATCTCCTCTCTCCAATCTTGCTCAACAAGTGTATTAAAGAGCTATTCGTTGCATAATTACGACTCGTTGCATTTGTCACTCGAGAGTCACAATATGGTTTGGACATCTGCCCACTATCGCTATGAATAATTTCGAATGCACAACCCCTATATCATTTTAATGGATAGCCTTTCCACACCGAGTAAGTACGACTAACTATTGCAGTTATATAATTTCTCAAGACATAATATATCTCTGCATTAGCGAGAAATCCTATCCTCGCAAACTTGCCTTCACCTATCTATCGGACGTATCCTCTGAGTTCACAACCACCTACAGCGCTTCTCAGATACATTCACCCTCACTTCGGCCATACGCCTTTATGGAATTCGACACATTTATATCTAGAACCAAATTAACATACTCAGATACTCGTGCTACCCAGAACCTGGATAAATTAAATGACGAGCTGCGCGATGTAACAAAAGTAATGACAAAAAATATCGAGGACTTACTATATCGAGGAGATTCATTGGAACGCATGGGAGAGGTCAGTAGTCGTTTAAGAGAAGACAGCCAGAAATACCGAAAGGCTGCGGTAAAAATAAATTGGGATTTACTTCTGAAGCAGTACGGTCCCCTTGGAGGATTAGGACTCATAATAATTACCTTCATTTGGTGGAGATTTTTCTGGTAACACATACATGTTGCCGGAAGGTGAAGTAGATTTTGACTGTAAAATATAGATGGTGCTAATTGGGAACCGTATTAAACGCAGCAAGTGAAAAGCATGATGATGTGGTCATATCTGAACATATATCTGCCAACTTCACTTCCTCATAGATTAGCCTCTTGGACTAGGGCGTTAAGTTTAATGGAAGCGGCTACCTGGAATATTAATATACTGACTCGAGAATATTTATCTCGTGCATGCCTAATCCAACTAGTTTTCAATTCAGATAGCAGTAAGAAGCAATACAGATTGAGACATTTTGTCTATGCTCAGTAACTCTAGGCGATGAAGAGGTCTAAAAAGAAAGAAATGAACATCGTTTATCGCGAGTGATCGTGCCAAACCTCCTAGATAACCCTGACGAGCTGAGCGAGGCGTCTTAAAGTTCTTCATCGCCTGTTCTTCAACTACAGAATTTCGGGCCTAGATAAGTCACTCATGCCAATGCTGAGCTTAAAATTAAAGCAAAATATGAAATCCTGCACAAATCCTTCTAGCCTCAATGCAGTCTAACGAAGCTTGAAAAGAAGCAATCCATCTTCCGCATAATGTTTTGATAACTTGTTTGCAATCCTAAGGAATATCGTCATTGATATAATGTCGAGGGAAAGTCCTTCTATCATAGTTTCTACAAAGAGGTTGCTCTAGAATTAGCCTCGCAGACTGCACGAAGTAACTTACTATTCAAGAGCTGAATTTCCTCAAATTCGCAATGACGAAGAAGGCTGCTAATGTTTCAATAATTCAAGATTCCATACCATGCCAATCTTTCACCCGCAACAGGATTGATTCAAATCAGAGTCTCATTCAGTCTACACATATAGACTATCATAACTTAACTCAATGAATCCTATCTCTTGTTGACTCGGTCTTCGGCCACCATATACATAGCTATGACGATATGAATACCCATAAGAGGATGAAGTTCTTAGCCCACAAATCTGGTGACTCATTTCCGATGGAAATGAGAGAGATCAGGACAGGTGAGCAAGAGGATACAATTGGTGGATAAAATCTCGAAAAGGTTAACATCCCGATATGTTGAGAGGAGATGTATAGATTGAGCAGTCTATAGCGCCCTGAAACTATGATTGCAAGAGTCTTGACGACACTGTAAATGCATCCTTTGTTACATGGTGCAGCGTTACATCATTCGTGCTGGTCTCTCGTGCAGAGTCTAGAAAACTTGGAAAGATATCCCAATTGGCACAGGAGATTGCAAGACCTAGCCCAGGATTTATAAATTACATTTCTAGCAATATCCGTATGTAGGAATGGTGGATACGTGCTTGGATAACTGAAGGTTTTGAGGTTTCCATTTGGTGGGTCTTCATTGATCAAGATCGACCTATTATGCAAATAAATACACTTCACAGTGGTATTTGCAGATAGATATTAGAGTATGAGAGTTTATGGACTATACAAAGCTATCTTAAATCTCTATCATACATAGATCATGCGTCACAGTGTTGTGGTATTGACGACGTGGTATCTGAATGTACTATCGGAGGCCAAAAAACACCTCTTTCCACGAAAATCTGCGCAGCGCTTCACGCGGCCTCTGACATCAACTCGAAATTGATAAACTTAATTTTATCATTTATTCACTAATTTTTGCCGGCAAAGACGAATTCTTCACCTTCCAGTTGTGCCAGTATGATCGCTCAGTAAGCTCTGTATATCTAGGATAGCCAAGAAGAATTGCATCCGAAACGAAATCAAAAGCAAACACATGCATATCTCCATTTGACGACTTCTCAATCATGCAGCATTCACCATTATCTCCTGAGTTCTCGAGCTCTTTCTAACCACATATCATCTCGCCTCAACGACCGATAAAGGCGTCACCCCAATTACAAATAGGAGCTAGCCTCATTGATTATCAGCCATCACTCGCTAAAATTTACGACGCTACGTATACCCGCAAGGAGGAAATTAAGTCATAGTATACAAAGTTTGGGTCTTGGTTTATGGGGGACTGATGCTCTAATGGGGTTGTACACCTTGAGGAATGACAGGCGGCTGGAATGGAACGAGAGGGGAACAGGTCTCTGAAGAGCATTCTGGGACTGATATTTACGAGGAGTTTTCAACTTTGGATTTTTTGTGGGCGCCAAGATCAAGATTTCGACTAATTAGCTAGGAGGGCTTCATTTGTCGATGAGTCAACGGCACTCCCTAGCGCCCTGGACGGTACAATAGAAGTTGAGCTAAGCTGCCATACAGCAATCACGCTCTGTCAAGACTTTTCTGACATTTCAGCACGACCTTCGGGATGGAGTTAGAAGGAGGCTAGAAAAGCAGAGGGTCAATTTCCCGAGGTACCCACAAGTCTGCAGCGCCCAGCTGACCGGAATCTTTGAACGCTTCAGAAGGATCACTATGTCTTCGGATCTAGTCCTAATATCGGTAGTAGGAGAGCCCCGCACCCACTGGTTTTTACGACTTTTCCCGACTGCCATACACCCGCAAATGGCCACCGTTTCATCGGCTGGAGAGGGGAGATAATGAAGAGCAAAGGGCTCCTCTAAGTGTATGATCGAATGAGGACTTGTGAGGGGTGGTACTGTTTGAGGGGAGCTATATGGGAGGCATAGGAGAGGATGTACTACCAGCATAGGTATCCACGTCCTGTTTTTACTTGAAATGAGAAGGGGCAATGAAAAAATAATAACAAATAATGATATTCTTGGGTTATGTCGTGTTACTGGTTGACCGTTGTTTGAGCTTCGGAGTGGACCTAAGCCTGATATTGAGAATTTTTACGATAAGATTGTATGGGGGGAAGATGGAGATTATCGAAACTGCATTACTAATCAGGAGGCTAAACGTTATTACAACTTAGTGACACCTGGAAATACGTGGCTGGGTATGAAGTATTGTGTCTAAGGACATGTCACTAGTCTGTAGATTTACGAGGATGACCAACTGTTATAAATACCTGTTAAAAGTAGCTAGAGTTCTCTTTTCTCCTCATATAGTTTAAAAAATCAATTTATTAATCACCAGCTCGGTTCCCGTCAGATATCGTGCGTGCAAGACGTTACATGATTGATACAAATCTGAATACGTTGTATCAAAAACGAGATAGAACCGAGACAATCAAGCCATTAATAGGTTACCGGAGTCTATTTCTACAAAGTTACATCATATGAGCGCAGCCATCACAGCATCTTTGCCCATCGGTATCCATGTTACATTTTCCAACCGACATACTGGTTCGCATTCATTTTGTGTAGTGGGCGATACCGTAACTCCTCCAGCACCCATAAAGATCGGTGCAATAGTAACGATGACACTGGTGAGGAGATGACGGTTCTTTTGCTTAAGAATATCATTGATAACAGTGGCGCCTCCTTCCACCATAATACTTTTAATTCCCAATTCATTCAGCTTTGACAAGATGGTCATCCAGTCTACACCTCCAGAACTTTCTTTGTAACCTGATAAGCTCAACAACTGGCCGCCTTGCTCGGTGAAACGTGCAAGCCTTTCGAGATCTAAAGCAATGGCCTCATCCACCACGGCCAACGGTGCAAGCCCTTTCCCTTCCCGCACGAGCCGCGAGAGATTTTCTTGGCCATCCCACTTGCCTAGCCAGCGACCTGAAGGATCTAGAATGATAGGCCGAGGTTGAGAGACAAGTCCACCACCAGCCCCTTCCCATCGACTATTCAGGCGAGGGTTATCAATTAAAGCGGTCGTAGCTCCGACAAGAATTGCATCGTGACGTGCACGAAGATAGTGAGTCATGGCTTTTGTTTCAGGTCCGGAGAGAACAGTCTGTAGACCAGGAGCAAGAGCAATGCGACTATCAAGCGAAGCGGCATAGGTAAGGGTGACATGAGGAGCGGTTCTTGGGCATAATTTCTGTGCAGCGCTTGATGGTATATAAGGATCCAGTGATGCGATATAGCTGGGCGATAAATGAAGAGAATTATCCATGAGCTATGGAAGATCCGTTAATCGTGACCTTGCGCGATGATTTATATCGAGGAGAATTGTATTCTCTCTCATCTTCTAGGATGAGGCTTACAAATTAGCTTTAAATTAGCGTAGAGCAAGCGAAGGCTCAATCTACCCTGAGGTCAGTAGCGTGTTATGGTTTTTCTCGAGCTTCGGAGGAAGTCCAAGGGCGACGATGATTGTCGGGACTCGGTCGTTGTGATAACAAAGATTAAGTTAGTACAGTACGAAGAGGACTAGATAAAATTAATCAACTAGCTTATGCATCGCAGCACTGCTATGTCACACCTTGCTCGTGCTTATTATTAATCACATTACTATCCTTTTTCAGACTATGACTATCTTGGATATGTATGTCTTCTCTGCCCACAGGCCAAGGATTCCTATCTAGCAGCATATGCTATCCATGTAGGGCAACACCGTGGGCGATGATTGGAAAATATTGTATATGATGAAGGTATAAGAAACAAGTAAATATTAGATGAAATTGAGACAATTTTTTACAGTCATTCATAATTAAAGAATCAGGAGGGACTTAAATTCTATTCTGTTCCCTTCCTATGCCTCCTATACAGCTGCCACTACGGCTCCTATTGGTGTGTACTCGAATGAATACCCTTGGGGGTATAACTGCTGGAAAGAAGTCGTGAAGGAGGCATTGGAGGGAGTACACTACTCGAGGCATAGATACTCCCGGCCTGTAGGCGGAGAAGACCCACATGTCCTTACATACTCATAGACTTTATAGGGCAATAAACACATACAAATACATACATATATAGCTGTCCTAATCTTCGTGTGTTACGAGGCTGAGTGGTATTGTCATAGCTAAATAGCTGAATATAATATTGCTATGGGTGTTGAAATTATGGAGTACAGAGATAAGTCAGGTGATGGTTAATAGAAGTAATTGATGAAGGGTTTTTTTTACTTTTGGTCCTAAGCTAACGCTATCTTTTCCACATTAGGTCAAGGACCGGCGGATCCGGCAGAGTTCCCTGCAACTTTTCCTACAGCCTAACTCGTTCCAACTTCGTGAATCGCTACTAAAAGTGCAGCTGATTAAACAAGAACGAAAAATCGAGAAAATCAAGAAAATCAAAACAACTCCAAATACCAGAAGATTCCTCCATATTGGACCCATTAAAAGCGCTCCTCACACATTCCCTCGTCCGTCACACCTTCCAGATGACAAATTTGCCCATTCTCCGCTGGGAGCAAAAGATGGGTTAGCAGGCACCTTTTATCCAGCCGGTATCCTGCTTATAGTTAGTAGATGCCCCAAAAGGGGGCATCGTCGAGGTCGCTGTTCTCTCAAGCTTCTTCTTCAGATCCCAGAGCTCCGAAACCGGTTGTCAGGCTCGTTGGCTAGTTCGGAGATCAAGGGTCGGAATAGGACGGAGTCGGGACAGGATGTAATCGGAACGGGACGAGGGCGAGACAAGACGGAGGCGGAACGATCGGAGTCGGGGTATAAGGTAAAGCTTATAATAGTCGGATCAATCTAAAGTCTAGAATAATTTCAAGAAAAAAAACTACAGATCAAATACTGTCCAAGACCTTCTTTAAGTACTCAAGAGCGGCTACTACAATCAGGGGTATGGTAGTCTACAGCTATAACACAGCAACTGATTGCTTATGTTGATTAGTAACTGTTGCTATCATAACATTGTAACCATCGCAACGCATTGACTATGTTACTAGGGAAGTTCCTGACTTGGTTGACCAGACTAAGCGCAGCATCTCAGCATTAGCCCATGGCAGAATGGTAGTAACAAGCAGGCCGTTTTCCTCGTGGGAAAGCTGGTCTGTGACACCTGTAGCCGCACCATTGAGACGTCTTTCGCAGCGGCGATGATCGCCTCTTCGGCCTTTTTTGCTGCTGCTCGTGCTCGTGCCACTTTTGAGAACTCCCCTTGTTCTATGTGGCGGATCCACGCGAGCTGCTCTTTGGTCACCGGTCCGGATTTTTTGGGTCTGACCTGACAGGCCCAAGAATCCGATCGGTGAGGTCCCCCACAGTTACGACACTTAGTGAGGGCCTTGCACTCGGCTTCCGTGTGCATGTTAGATCCGCAGTTCTAGCAGGCTGGAGCGCGGGTGCAACCACGGGTGGCGTGGGAGCCCAAACAGCGTTTGCACTGTTCAATTTGTGGACGAGGCTTGTGAATGGTAGCCATACCAGCCTCGTCGAGAATGCGGAAGCCCGCACGAGGGGCGGAGTCCCGGTTGAAAAGGGCATACCAGTTTCTGTATGGCGCTCCAGGACGACATGTCCCTTGCGGTCGCACCTGGCATGGACGTCGTTGTGTTTTGCGGTAAATCTCCAGTGAGATCCTACCGGCATCGACCGTCTCAATACGGTTGATTAATTTTATAGTCGCTGGAACATTCGCGATCCGAAAGGCGACAAGGTTGGAGGCTTCCTCGATTTTGGCATTGAAGTCCGACAACTTCGGTGAGGCATCTAAGAGCTCTTCCCTTTCATCTTCATCCGCTGTCAGAATCGCAAATCCGGTTCTGACACGGTGTATAGAGCTTTTTTCACTCAATGTGTACAGTAGCCTACAACATAATTGATGCCTTATGCCGTCAGGCGAAAGCTGGCGCCATGGGTGATCGCTCTCTAAGCGAAGGAACAGTCGTTTGTCGACTTTAGCCTTCGGAGCTTCTTTATTTTGGGCTTTTGCCGCAGGTCGCGGAACAGCCTTTACAGTTGGGACTGCTTTTTGTTGCAGTCCATTTCTGGCCACCGTGGCCCAGGTGCTTTTTATAGGCAGCGCTGGGACGGCGGAAATCGTTGTGCTCCTGACGTCGGGAGCCCTTGGGATCGGGTTCGCCGGGCGAGGAGGAAGGACGGGTGGCGTGGAGGCCGGGCCCGTGGCCATGTATTGCGCGATGGCTGCGCGTAGGTAGACTCTCATCGAGTCTACAAATTGTCTGTTTGACCCGTTGGTCAAAGGAAGAAGGGTGACTTCGACGCCAGAGATGGCGGCGGAGCAGAGGGCCAGATTTGCCGCTGTTTCGGCGGCACGTCGTTGCTCGGCTTCGATAATGGGTCGAAGTTCCGGAGGGCAATCTGCTTTCGTGGCAGCTTTGGGCTGCGACGTTGATTTTGACGCTGCTTTGGGTGCAGCGTTCTCCGACAGTTTTGGCGCGGTCGGGGGAGATTTTGACGATTCTCCAATCCCGTGGGGGACGGAGGATGGTTGAGGAATTTCCTCTATAATTTCGACTGACCCGATCATGTCAGTATCGGGCTCAGTGACGGTGGGGAGGGCTTTTTCCTTCCCTTTGGTATAGACGTTGCTCATCTCCGCGCATTTCGGAGACTGGGCAAGGCCTGGTAATTGTTGGAGAGCCCTCGGGTGGACTCTCGTGTTGTCCAACTTGACGTTGGGGCGCTTTTTGCGAACTGGAGGCATGGTGAAATGCCTGAGCTCGATCACAATTCAGATATAGATGCGACGAGGTCGAGAAGGGAGGAAAGAGGGAAAAAATGAATTTTCGAATTTTCGAATTTTCGAATTTTCGAATTTCTCGAATTGATGAAGGGTTTGGTTGTTGAGTTTTCTATTATTTCTGTGTTGATACACTTTGTTGATCCTACTAGGCTCGATAATTAGTAAACCCAACCGACTGGTCTTTGGCGAGCGGAGATTGCGTATACCCTGTACTAGCGTTTTTTTCTTGCATCAGATTTTAATTGCGTATGCAGCTATCTAATTAGGATCTGTGTTGGCGTTTTTTTTGTCCATTAATGTCCTAAGTGTTAGGGGGGGGTTTTTTTTTTAATCATTTAATGTGTATGCAGCTATCTAGCTATGACACATGACCGGTGCTATGTATACATGTGGGATGACTCTTTTGACTATGAGACACTCATACTCTGTATTTCATTTGCTAATACCACTACGAGGTATGCTAGCTTACACAAACAGTCGACTCTCCTCCGTTAGTACCCACCAAAGGGAATTTCGAAACCTTTGGTTATCCAAGCATGCCTTTGTCATCCATGCATACCAGCGCCGCGAGAAAAGTGGTTGTGTTTTGCCGGATTTGAACCAGCGATCTACTGTCTCGAGTGGGATATGTGTCCAAGCTATCCAGACTCTACTTGGCAGACCGGCCAAGACGATGTACCACCGCACCATCCAACCATGGCAATTTTTATAGTGTCGCCTGTACTCTAACTGTTATCGTTGTTTACTGCTGTTAATAGGAGATCCCCCACGGGCTATCTACTGTGATTAATGGGAATCTGGTACCTGTGAGTAAGTGAATAGTCGAATCGACATCCTTTAGTCCTTCATGATCGCATAAGCTTCCATCTATGAACAAGTCCACCAAATAAGTAGTGGGTTATACATTTCAATACATGCTCGTATTTGTTGTCAATTTTGATTTCGACGCGATCCTGCTTGGCTTTCCTAATACATGCAGAGCTTACGAAGCGATTAAACCAGCACCAAAGGACGGTATGGAAATTGTATTTTCCGGCCATATTATGTTCAACTGCAGTAGTTCATCTGTCCATTCTTGAGTTACAGGTGTTCGATAATTGCATCTTTACTTAGCATCCTTACCATAAGTTGAATATTATTTATATTCTAGCTCACGAGAATATGCCTCTTTGGCGCAGTGGTAACGCGTAGCACTTGTACACTAAACTCAATGCTAAGATCACAGGTTCGATTCCTGTAGGAGGCAAAGCAGGCATGAGATGAATGTTGTGGGCGCTGGCCTCATGTAATTTTAATCGATGAAAGTAATTTATTTATTTAGGGAACAGCAAGTGACGGCTGAACATCTAAAGTAGTATCAATGTCATGTCTATGAGTGTGATGCTAATGTTCTCTGGAAAAGTTTAAGTTGCCTGGGCACCTACTTCAGTTGGGAAGGAGCTATCTCAGATCAATTTCCCGCGGAGAAAATTAAATGGGTGGTGGAGGCGTGTCTGGGTAGCTTAGGGTTTTTGA